TTTTTCTAGCAACGCATACAACACCATTTTTTTTTTCTTCGGTCACTTGAACTTGATAGTTACCCTACCCAACCTACCCAAATACTATGGTATTTAGCGTTCGATGACATATCTGATATTGTCCATCGCAAGAAGGGTTATAAAGGTTGTTATCTTCATAACCCACGTTGATGATGGAAAACAGGGTGAAAATGTAATTGAAAGGCAGTTCCTAGAAAGGAATCAAGTGTTCACCTAAACTCTAACCAGTAGGAAAGGAAGAGCACCAAGGGGTGTGATGGTAAACTAGTGCAAAAAGCTGGGGTGGCGTATGAATTGAACATTCAAATCACTCATCCACCCGATGTTTCTTCTCTCTTTAGACTCCGGTCAAAAACTCTATTACATTTTCTCGGTCGAGGAGTAAAACGTTTCTCAGCACTATACTGGGCTCGCGATGTCGGCTACCCTTTCTTTTCTGCGCTCTTGCGCTCAATGTTGGGAATGTTTGCCTCTTCCTTTCCCCCCAACTACATCTTCACCGAATAGCTCAACGCATAAAACATTGGGAAGAACGTGCTGCTCAGCGGTATTAAATATCTTTCCCATGGGGAGCACTTGAAAAGCTGTCTCGTTTGCTGAGTCCCCTGATCCTGGGTAGGATCACCAAACAGGCTGAATTCGATAGGGCCGCTTGCCTTGCTTCTAAATCGATTCTAATGATGGAAAATTATTTCACTCATTTCATGGAATTATGTTTTTTTTCCTGACGTAACTTACTATCTCATACCTGCGTAGCATTACATGCGAATCCATCCGGTTTGAAGGTGGGCGTGAACGAAAGGAAACCGTTCATCTTGAAGAACAAGCTTCGTAGTCGATCATAAAGCTGTCCAACAAAGTCCAAATTGCCGTTCTCTTCAGGTGAAGTCTGAAAATGTATTGACTATCCTTTCGTGATGAATTTCTTATTCGACTGAAAATCTATTCTTCTCTTCATGCGTTCCGTTCTCACAGGTCCTCTAGACAGCCTCACATTTATAGGAGAGGGTTTTAAAAAAACAAGTCATTAAGTCACTCAGAGGCAGAATCATCATACTCGTGTTACTTCACCCATATCCCTTTAATACTTCCAAATATTGAAGCCCTTTTGCAGCAATGTTATAGTAGGAAGAGTTTGAGATGTCTGAAAGCATTAATTGGGTCTCAAGAGCCTTGTAGAGCAATTGCCGAGTTAGCTGAGGGCGTAGAGGAGGAATGAGACAAAGAAGAGACCAGGCGTTGAATGTTTTTGATCGAAAGCTTCAATATATTTACCTGGAAGATTTCCACATATGATCCTGCCGGTATATCCCAACGAAGCAGTCTCTCGAATCCTCGCCATAACTGAACATAATTGATAAAGGATTGTACGCCCTATTGAAGAGCGCTTGAGCATTTTAAGAAAGCTTATTCAAAAAATATTAGTCTACTCAAAGAAATAAATCGGAAGTGGTTCTCATATGGCGCACCACTATTGGAGCGGGGGTCGAAGCCCGGTCCGATACCGCCAAGGCCAACTGAACCTTTCATCCCTCCGTGGCAAGTCGACTTGAACCGTATTCCAGAAGGCAAAAAGCATTGTATGTACATAGACTGGGAACAAGTAATTGTATATGCCTCGTAGGCATTCCAATGCTGTTACGATTGATAACGGAAGTCGTATGCTGGGCGCAACTCAGAATGGAACTGTTTGACATCAAAAGAGTTGTTGTTATCCTACTCATTTCTCGACCCAGGTAGATTTAAGAGATTGAGTAGCTCTCACTCATAGTAAGAGGAGTACACCAGAAGAATCAACCTCCGTAGGTGCTTGTATTCTAGCGTTCGGACCAGGTATATTGCATTGGCTAGCGGCACTTCTTATTTAGTCGACAACTTAGATATACCTGCACACGACATCCAGTATCGGTAGGTATCACTCCGGCTAGCCTATTCAACGTGTCGATAACTTGGTGAGGATCACGACTCGATGACACTGCCATGATGTCCGCCCCTTGATAAAAAACACTTCCAATTCTTCGATAATTGTTCAGAATAAGCACTTCAATCTTATTTCGTTTTAAAAGTAATGTTCCGAACAAAGCAATGTTCGCTTTCGAGCTGAAATACCACAAGTAGACGTTTTTCGGTGCTTCTCTCTATGGAATACTCCGAGAAAAGTGAAGTAGCAAGATTTTCTCGCGAGATGAGCGATATCCTTCGTAATCTACCCGAGAAGCTTCCTGTCACGGACTCAACAAAGTTGAAAGACAGATATCTTTGAGTTTTGGCAAACTTCGAAGCAACTGTCTCCCACACTGATTATTTCACCTCCCTACTGAATTCTGTAGCACTTACAAGTGGAGTTGAACCCAACCAGGTAGAATCGATTGATCCAAGTACGACTTTGGGCTTGCACATCACGAATTATCTCGGCGAATTGCATATTCAACGAAACTACCTGAAATAATTCCTGTTTTTCTATTAGAGAGGCTTAGTCTGATGACCATCGCTGGTGCAAAAAAACATGATCCCTACCTGAGCATGAGCTTGAGCCGTGAGCTCCACCATAAACACCATATCCACTTGATTCAGAATGAATTCTGGGGATAGTCCTTTGTTTATGCATTTAGCTGTAAAAAGCACATTGTAACCTCATTCAGGAGCTGTTCTGATATACAAACTAGGCTGAGTATGTAGGCGGGCGCTTTGTGGTCATTGCACGATGCCCATTGGTCAGTCCCTCCCACCAAGACTGCTGACCAATAGGGAGCGCACAATGTTTTCTATCACTCCATCTCTATTTGCAATGTGAATGCCTATTCCGTTCAGGTCAATCTCTCTCTAATACTCACGCAATTCGCAGAATGTTCCAGTCCATCCAATCGGACAGCTACACTGATTTCCGATATATTTTCCACCATTGTAGCATTGCTGAAACACCATAGAATAGCATTTTATGAGATTTATGGCGAGATTCGCCTGCTGCTCCGAAAAGGAGAACTCACAACTTGTTCACAAAGATTTCCACTGAATCCAGGTGGACAGAAACAAGACGTGTTCGTAGGGTTCATTACGCCACCGTTTTGACATCCCGACAGTGATGTTGGTGGGGGAGCTACTGAAAACAACATTCTTCAGTTCCTTTCCTACAAGGCATTTTTGAAAGCTAAGGAAACACTGGTTGCGTTCAGACTTTGCGCTGACATGCTTTCGCAATAATCAATAGACATTTGTAACAACCTACTCTCTGCGCAGTACATGACACCTGCTCGTTGTACGGCAAATCCAAGTAGGTCCTGGGCGAAGAACTGCAAAAAAGTCATCAGAGGCATATGAATACAGTAAAAGTAGCTCAATCAAAAGTAAAAACTGACAGACGTCACCAGTGTGGAATACACCATGTGCCTGACAAACTCAAAAAACTCAGACAGCTTATAAAATTAGTCAGTGGTGGTCATATAAAACTCACATTGAAATGAAAAAGTTCATTAGGCCGTCTACACATGAACGGTGGGAAATAGAAATTATAATTGCAGACATCACGCCATATTCCGTTCGATGCATAAACCTAAAACAGTAAACTAGTAAAAATGGCAGTTAGGTGACCTGACAAATTGGAGTAAAAAATGATAAAAATAAGAGATATTGCATACTAATAGCAAGTTAGTGGTTGAAAGTGTTAGGGTAGTGGGTATGATAACTAGGACATGTAGGAAGCACACATGCGGATTGAAAGAGTAGTACACTGTGCAAGAATCACAAAGTGAGCCACTGACGCTGCGAAAAGCGCTCGAAAAGGGGCGTGGCGAACGAATGCCTTCGAATCGATGTTTTCCTTTTGCAAAGGAGAAAAATGGAAGGACAATGGCAAAGTTACCGTTTTCCAACGGCTCAGTCTCATTTATCGTGCCCACTGCCTCCAATACAGCCCTACTGACCTGTGTCGGTTTTCCGTTACGATTTGTACTTATAGTTAGGGAAGCTTGTACACGTTCTGGTGGAACGCCAACAGGATAGTTGGTCAGATGCATGACGATCGCATGTTGTAGACCTAAAAAAGAAAATTTCCGATGAGTAGGCATGAACAGTGGACTACAGTCGCCCTCAGCAAGGCCAATCTTGAGCTGAACTGAGCCCGACTTGTGCCTAACAGAACCCAATCAGAATCAGGAACTAATTCAACATCAGCTTGATCCTTCACCGATCATACCCTGGCAGGGCACCTGATTGAGCGGAAACTACTTTTCCTGCTGAGTACATAATGATCCAATTATAATCATCTATAAGTGGCTCCAAAAGGATCTATTTCTGAGTAACCTACCGAACAGTGGCTGTGGGAGGCCCATATCCGAATCGATATTGATCGATGTTGACCAGAAAAGATCCATCTGGGTATCTCGTCCAGCTAAATGAAAAAAGTTATTCGATCAAAAGAGAAAATTGCGGTATTATCAATCGGAATGAAACTTATGCAGCAGGTATAACACCGTGATTTTGTTCTAAAAAAATAGCATTTATTTAAAATTTAAGGTGTTAAAAGGCGTATCGCGAAAAAGATAGTGGGGCGGATTGACCGAAGATCCAATAAATTTCAGGATTTTTCAAGCATTTTTGTATTATGAACTCTTATATTTAATCTGTCAGAAGTTCTCTTCACAGCTCTTCAAAACCTCGCCACCTCAGACGCCAGGGTTCTTCGGTATTTCAGATAGGTTTATGGAGTCGTATTTCAAAGAAAGTGAGAACCCAAGGCTGGAAACTGCAGGTCCGTGACGCCATGCTTCACCATAGTCTCATACCCATGGCCATTCCACTGATTACATAAGAATCTACTCACGTGTGTGGTACATAGCCTGGTAGATTTTGTAACTGCACGATTGCGTAGCTGCTGAAGAACGGAACGAGAACAGCCAGTTGCCAACCTGTGGTCCGTTGAAGAGCCTAAACGGTATCAAAATTACGCCTGACAGAGCAATCAAAGAAGAGAGATGGTGAAAAATCAGATGTGGTTCGAGAAGTTCAGTTCTCATATCTTCTGGTTCCTGTAGCTTACCATATGTTATTTACGCCATCGGTATATTGCTCAGTAGTGGCTGCCCATTCTCCATCCGGATCTGTTAGGACAAGCGATATATTCCCTAAAAAATGAAAGATTGAGCTCCTCGTGAATATTGGAAAATACTAGAGTTCGAACTAAAACACAGAAGAATTCCAATCATCTTCGCTTCGATTGAAATGTTGAGCCGGAAAGCTCATGATATTCACTACATTGCAAAGAAAGTGAAGATCCAAGGCCGGACACTGCAATTTCGCAATATCACGCTTCACAATGGTCTCGCGAGATTAATGCAGGGACAATTTCACTCCAAACAGCCGTGATCGATAAAAGGCTCGAGAGCCAATGAATCGAAAGAGTTTTTGAAAACTCTTCGTTGCCCTCACCAATTCAGACTAAGCTGAATTTCCAAGGTTGGGAATCTCTCAGGACCTAGACAGGGCAGTGAACGACGGGTATCAGTCAAGGAGTGCGGGAGGGTAAGTGGAAAATTTCTGGAATTGTCTTAGGCCGATGGAACTCCAACTCCGGTATTTTCCGTATGAGCACCGAGGCCTTTCTGCTGAACCATTTCCACAAAACCTCTTTCATGTTGGATCTGATTAGAGTCAGATCGAGATTGAGAGGATTTTCTTTGCATGAGATGATCGTCATTATAAATGAATGTCAGACTCAAAAAATGGTTATGACAGTTGACATCGATCTACTGCGTATAACTAATTACATCACATTTATACAAAAGTGATATTTGCTTACTAATCCTTTTACTTATTCAGTCATTCAAGACCTTCGCTACGGAATTATCTCTATCACCAAGTCCCCTTTTTAGGTGTCTTAAGAGACAAAATAGCTCAACCGTTAAGTAATCGATGTAACCAATTGTAGTAGGTACTACTCACGTCCAGTAGCCACGATGACGAGCATTTGAATTGACGAATCAACCGAGACCGACTTATAAACGAGCTGATTGGAACAGACCGGTAAATCGTTGGAAAGCAGCATCTGCGTTCGATACAAGGTGTTCAACAGGTGCGTGGTCAAGAACTGAAACAAACGTAAGTAGGTGGTAAACCGTGTTAATGCTTTCCAGGAATTTTGGCAGCGCCATTGCTGAATATGAGACTTTTTGAACACTCACAGTTCCGATTGTTGCATGACTTGTAAAATAGAAGGTTTGTCCTGCTGATCGTT